AAATGAATAAATAAAAAAATAAAAATAAAAATGAAATGCAAGTAGGTGGTAAGGCGAAAATCATTATGGGTGATTTGGCAATAGAAATGAAAAAGTGGAGTGTTAGTAGAAATTTACTGGGTGTTTGGTTGGTGGGATTTTAAATTCCCTTCTCACTTAATTCCCACCTAATTTCAAAGACCATTAAATTCCGTAGTTTGGTTGGAGGGAATTGCAATTCCATGGAATTGCAATTCCCCCATTTCCATGGAATTAAAATTCCATGTCCCCCCTGGGATTTTAATTCCTGAGAAAAAAAGATATTGATGAATCGAAATTACCCCTTCCTTTTTTTAACCTAAAATTAATGTCTAACAACAATAATGGGCATTTTTGACTTTATACTACTTATTCCCTTTTAATTCCCATGTATACCAAACATTGGAATTGAAATTCCCAGTAATTCTATTCCTGTCAACCAAACACTGGAATTTAAATTCCCACTTTATTCCCAGTAATTCAACTCCCATGAAATTACAATTCCTTTCCCACATAATTCTCCCTCTCCAACCAAACGCCATGTTAGTTGACTGGAATTATCAATATTCATCATAGCATGAACACTAGAGCATCTAGTACTTATTCTAATGCAATAACATATATATATATATATATATATATATATATATATATATATATATATATATATATATATATATATATATATATATATATATATACACACACGTAATGATTTATATAGTCCATGACTGCTTGTTTAAATGGATGAAGTTAGGTCTGAATTTCATCATTTTGTCATAAAAGAGTTCAAATTAATTAAATTGAAAGCAATAGGTAAGTTAAGAACTAAACATATTCATATTGATTGTATATACATGTGACATAATTATTGATTAAAAATGGAGGAGTAAAACCTAACTTAATGTGCAATTTTGGCACATATCATGATTTTCAAAATATGTCTGCATGGGCAGCTTAATTGGTCATAGAGATGATATTTGGGAAGAATGACCAGGGATCGAGTCTCACCAGTGACAGTGTAGGAAAAACCTCTCAAAGTGAGGGGGACTCCTTGTGCGCAGTAAGTAAATGTCTAGCCTCTGTGGTTCAGTTGAGTTACCATGATCTCCTTCCAGATGCTCAAAATTATTCTTAACTTGACAATAAACAATTCATGATTTGTGCGCAGTAAGCAAAGGTCTAGTCTCCTTCTGGGAAGTGATTTCCAAAATATTAAAAATTATTCTTAACTTGACAATGAACAATTCATGATTAATCAATTAATTATTACAGCATTGCTTATTAAACTATCCATGTGCATGTGTATGCCCTACTGCGATAACCAAATTAAATATACCCAATTTGGGGTCGGGGAAAAAGGAAATAAATAAATAACACAAAGAGGGAACAAGGGTTTGGTAAAGGAACAAAATCTCATCATTGTAATTGGCCCAAAGTTAACTGGTTTAACGCAAATTATGTTGTGCAATCGTGTGCACCATGTATAGCGCACACGGTTGTAAAACGACACCGTTTACTATGATGGAGTAACGATGTCATTAGTGGCACCGTTTAACTCCACCAATCAAATAATTTTTTTTTTTTTTTTACAAAAACTCCAATAGACGTGTAATTATGAATATATAGTTATGCAAGTCTATATATATATATATATATATATATATATATATATATATATATATATATATATATAAGATCATATGAGAACATGTGCTTAGGTGAGAACGTGAGAACACATTATGTGCATCCATCTAATATTTTTTAATGGTCTAGATTAGGTGATGTGTGTGCGAACGCGCATTAAATGTGTGCAAACGCGATTTAGTGTGTTTGCACACATTTAATGCGCGTTCACACACACTTAATCTAATCTAGATATGTTGTATCCCATCATCAGTATCACCATCACAAATAATAAAAGAATACTTTCACTCCCGTGGACAAAGGCACGTACATTGCCGAACGACATAAATATTGTCTTTTTTACCTTTATATCATTATTATTATTTCTTATTTTTGTTAAATCTCAACAGCTTCTTTGTCAAAACGGGAGAAGCCGACAGCTTCTTCTTTTGAATCATTTTTTTTTTAAAAAAATTTTTGAATAGAATTTCACATGAGATGTCATTTAATCAAAAGTTGATCAGTTATCTTTTGATAACTTATTAAATAGGTTAATTGTACAATTTAAACAATTTTAATATCTAATTAGAATTTTTTAATTTAAAAGTCTAATTACACTTTGATATATAGTTTGATGTCATATTTGGTCCTTATCTCTATCTAGAACCAAACTCTAGGAATATGTACCTAATGAAATCTAAATTAATTTTACTATAGTAAAAAAAGATATTTGTATATCGTAAAAAAATCCTATATATTAAAATTATCATCCTTTAAAATAAAAGTGTCATTTCTCAAAAAAAAAAAATTATTATAATTGTAAGGGCATCTTCAATAGTGACATGGGGATTTTGGTGTAGTTTTTGAGAAGTTTTTGTAAGTGTGATTAGGAAACAAAAAATGGGAAAAAATAAAATCAAAAACGAAAAAAAAAAAAAAAAAAACAAATAGATTTACGCGCCTAGGCTGGTGCGTGTAGTCCATGCGCTTGCCTGGGCACGAGAGTTGCGCCTCACGCACATGAAGAGCATATCTTCCTTCAAACAATGGGACAAACCTGCAAAATCTCAAAACTTTGCAAGAAGAACCCACATGCTTTCTCTCTTCATTCTCTCTCTTCCAACAAAGCGGCATTTCCTTAAAAATGGTGAAAGAACCCCTTAATGGGATGCTCTAAGAGTGGACTAATTAAAAGATTGCAACTCTTAGATAGAGATTCTAAGGCTGGTCTTACCCCGTGCCAATATGCCCCTTGCAAGCTTAGTTGGCTAATGCCACGTCAACATTTTAATTTTGTTTTTATTAAAGGGGTTTGCAAATTTGCAGAGCGGCAGCTTTTGTATTATTTATTTATTTTTGAGAAAATTTTAATTTTGATCCACTGACTATTGCAGTTGTGTTAATTGCAATACTTGACTTTTAAAAATGTTAATTTAGTATCTTGACTATGCAATTTTTATCAATTTTGGTCACGCCGGCCAAATTACCAACGAATTGTAACTGAAAAAATATTAATAAATAAAATAATGAGAGTATTTTAATCATTTCACTAGTTTTTTCAAACCTCCGATGTGTCCACCATATTTTCTGACGAATGCTTGTGTTTTCCGCCGCAATGAAACACTTGCAAAGATTTTGAGTTTTTAAATATGTTTCTTGCATATACAAGACAACATTGTTCTCTTGTGTCAAGCTCGCGATAATCTCTTCAGAATATTAAGCAAGTATGGAGCTTTCTTCATTAATTGACTACTGGTTATTGTTTTTAAAGTTTTCGTTTGAAATGAAATCTGCAACATTAACATGCTTCAAGTTGGGAGATGGCAACTCCATAGAATCAAAACATCAAAATCTCGATTATTAATGTCTTGTATTCACTGAGATTATGTAAAATTGATGTGGTTTGAACAAATCTGCAGCCTTAATGAGCAGCAGAACTTCGTAGCTCGGATGCCACCACTTCCAGTTGAGGTGAACGAGGAGCTGGCTAATTCCATTCTTCCCCCCTCGACTCGTCTGAGGAAGTGATGGTCCTTTTCACAGCAATGATTATCCTAACGGAAGAGAGTTATTAATCAAGTTCTTGACTTCTTGCTCTAGCGAAATATTGCGGCGGAAAACACAAGCATTCACCTGAAAACATGGTGGACTCACCGGAGAATTAGAAAAAAGTAGTGAAATGACTAAAATACCCTCATTATTTTATTTATTAATATTTTCCGATCATAATTTGCGGGTAATTTGGCCGGCGTGACCAAAATTGATAGAAATTGTATAGTCAAGGTACTAAATTAACATTTTTGAAAGTCAAGTGTTGCAATTAACACAACTCCAATAGTCAATTGATCAAAATTAAAATTTTCTCTTTATTTTTTATTTGGTTTTCTTTACTTTTTAATGTTTTAATATAATTAATGATGTCATTTTAATATGTTGGTACCACTTTTAAAAGTTGATTAGATTTGTAGGGATATAGTGTGAATAGTAGATGATTTGCAAGTGGGATGATGTGGAAGGGCAAATTATGCCGTGCATCTGTGTGCACCATGCATGGTGCACACATATGCAAAAACGACGTCATTTTGACTAAAAACGCGCGTCCCACTTTAAAAAAAAAATTCATTTTCGATTCCCAGCAACAGCATTATGTTGTTCATTCATTCTAGATTTTTAGTTCATTCATTCTGGATTTTTAATTATGAAATTATGGATATGTAGTTATTTAATTCTGAATTTATAGTTATGATGTTATGGATGTGTAATTATGCAATTCTGGATTTATAGTTATGAAGTTATTGATGTATAGTTATGCAATTCTAGATGTATAGTTATGAAGTTATAGATGTGTAGTTATGCATGCAATTCTGGATTTATAGTTATGAAGTTATGAATGTATAGTTATGCAATTCTAAATGTATAGTTATGAAGTTATGGATGTGTAGTTATGCAATTCTGGATGTATAGTTATGAAGTTATAGATTATTTTTTTTAAGTCAACGTCAAAACGACTTCGTTTTTGCATCCGTGTGCACCATGCATAATACACACGGATGCACGACATAACGCTTCATGTGAAAGTGAAATCTATTTTTAAGGGTGGGAGAAATTTACAGGGATAATGTTAGCTTAAGGCTGAGACTCCTTGACAACGCTCCTAGTCTCACCTAATGTATCAAAATAAATAAGGGTACAAATAACCCGCCAAAACTAACGACCCTAAGTTGTCCTTATAGTGGCATTTGAGCCTTTGAGGTAAAATTTAAATAAACTAAAAGAGAATAGGAAAAAAGAAAATAGAAAATAGAGAATAAAAAAAAAAAAAAAAAAAAAAAAACTCTAGCATCCTTCGTTTATAAATTCCAACGACGATCATCTCTGCTATGGAAGTCACAGCTCACAGCTTGCTAGCTCACAGCTTGCTAGCTCACTCTATAATCTATACGTATATGTAGGTGTACCAGTATATTTATATATATATCTCCCACAGATGTTAGTATAAATCGAAAATCTCTCATTATACTCTCCAAAACCTCATTCTTGTCTTCCATTTGAGCAATGGGTTCTCTGGTTTGGTTCTCAGCCATTACTATCCTCCTCCATCTCCTCCGACCATGTGCGGCGACCGCGGCAGTGGCGAAGAAAACATACATCGTACACATGAAACATCACGAAAAGCCTTCTTCATTCCAAACCCACCGGGATTGGTACGCTGCCCATCTCCAATCCTCGGAGGACTCCCTTTTGTACACCTACACCACCGCCTATCACGGCTTCGCCGCCGCATTAGGCGCCGACGAGGTGGAGCGGCTCCGGCGGTCGGAGGCGGTGGTTGGTGTGTATGAGGATTCAGTGTACAGTTTGCACACGACCCGTACGCCTGAGTTTCTAGGGCTGGATGCGGAGTTCGGGCTTGGGGCGGGCCACGGCTCGCCGGAGGCGGCGGACGTAATCGTGGGGATTCTGGATACCGGGGTGTGGCCGGAGTCAAAGAGCTTTGACGATTCCGGCATGACGGCTGTGCCGGCGAGGTGGCGCGGCCGATGCGAATCCGCCCCGAATTTCGACCCGAAAACCCACTGCAATAAAAAGCTCATCGGCGCTCGATTCTACACCAGAGGCTCTCGCATGTCGTCGGGTAGAATCCACGCCGGAGAGCCCGATTCGCCGCGTGATCGTGACGGACATGGGACCCACACTGCCAGTACTGCGGCTGGGTCCCACGTAACGAACGCCAGCCTCTTCGGCTACGCGAGCGGAATCGCCCGCGGGATGGCCCCACTTGCCCGCGTGGCCACCTACAAGGTCTGCGAGAAAACCGGGTGTTTCGGCTCCGACATCCTCGCCGGAATGGAGCAAGCGATCCTCGACGGCGTCGACATACTCTCACTCTCCCTCGGAGGCGGTTCCGCGCCGTACTTTCGCGACACCATCGCGATCGGCGCTTTTTCCGCCGTGGAAAACGGGATTTTCGTTTCGTGTTCCGCGGGGAACAGCGGGCCCACAAAATCTTCCCTCGCAAATGTCGCTCCCTGGATCATGACCGTCGGCGCCGGAACAATCGACCGGGATTTTCCGGCGTATGCTACGCTGGGCAACGGCCAAAAATTCGCCGGAGTTTCGTTATACAGCGGGAAAGGAATGGGGAAACAGCAAGTGGGGTTAGTTTACAATTCCAAAAGTAACGGCGGGGCAAGCAATCTATGCTTGCCGGGATCACTGGATCCGAAAATGGTGAAAGGGAAAGTGGTTTTGTGCGACAGAGGGAGTAACGCTAGGGTGGAGAAGGGCGCGGTGGTCCGGCAAGCCGGAGGGGTGGGGATGATACTGGCGAACACGGTGGCTAGCGGCGAGGAGCTGGTGGCGGACAGCCACATGATGCCGGCGGTGGCCGTGGGGCGGAAAATGGGGGACGCGATAAGGGAGTACGTGAAGACGGCTAAAAATCCCACGGCGGCGCTCAGCTTTGGAGGGACGGTGGTGAACGTGAAGCCGTCGCCGGTGGTGGCGGCTTTCAGCTCAAGAGGGCCCAATACGGTGACTCCTCAGATCTTGAAGCCCGACGTGATCGGGCCGGGTGTGAATATTTTGGCTGCTTGGTCTCTGGCAATCGGGCCCACTGGGCTTGTTGCGGACTCCAGGAGGACTCCTTTCAACATCATGTCTGGTAAGCATGCTTTTCCCATTTCCCCTCAAATGATAGCTTTCTTTTTCTTTTTTTTTTTTTTCTTAAAAAACATTTTCTTGCCAACTTATTAGAATATATTAATGTTTCTTTCAAAATGGTAAGTATATAATTATAAATTAAATATCAACTCTTCGTCTAACACATAATATCATTAGAGCATCACCAATAGTAATTTTTTTAAAAAAAAATCAAAATTGCATAATTAGGTTTTTGTGGGACTAAAAGGAAAAAGAAAATATTGTGTGTGTGATTCACGTGCCGTTTGGGTGCATAAAACCCTTTTTTTATACCTTTTTTTCCCTCCTTTTATTCTCACCACTTTGTCCTTGTTGACAAAAATTCTGACAAAAATCTTAATATGACTAACATGCTTTAAGCATGTCCCAAAAAGAGTGACTGAGTGAGCGAACCAGTTACGTAAGGTCTTTTTAGTGCAATTGACCTCTCTTGTGTGATTTATGAATTATTACATAAGAGTAGAATTTACTCGATTAATATACACTTTAGATAGTAGTTACGAATTTCTTTCATCGTAAGAATACAAACTCAAAACTCTTGTCATGATTTGGACAAAACATTTTATGGCATCTTAGCTATAAATCTGCAAGTAAGATAAATGGCATCTTAACTTTATATTGTGATCTAATAATGCATCTTTATAATCTCAAGTTGAATGCTTTGGTGGGGCATGAAGCCATGTGTGTGATTGAGTCACAGCACATGCCAAAAGCATATTGATTCTCATTTTTGAGCCACTCATGAAAATCCTTTTTAGCTTATTATATAAAGTTTCTGGAAGATTTTATGCCTTAAAATCATGTGATAAGAGAAGAAAAATACAAGATTATACATATCTAGTTTGGATTGGTTGTAAAGCTGATTCCAAGGGAACTAAAGATGGAGATCAGAATAAGATGGTTGGGATAGATGAATAGTAAAAGCCTTTCTTTTTTGGATTTGATTCACTATACTAGATCATGTTAAATGGATTAATTAGCACCTTTGTAAAAAGAGATTTGGTTTGTGCCAAATAGGCAAATAATTGTGTGGAGCTGTATAGACCACGGTTCAAAATGACATCTTTAAATTTTATGAGTTAGAATAATGTATTTTATGTGTTAGAATAATGTATTTTATGTGTTAAAATAATGAAATTTATGGAATAAGATAATGTACTTTATGAGTTAGAATAATGTACATTATAGAATAATGTACATAATGAATTACAAAAATGTATTTTGCAGTGGGTCATGTAAAAAAAAAAAAAAAAAAAAAAAAAAAAAAAAACACAAAATGATATTGTTTTTGGACCGTGATCCACACAGTACAATAGTTATTGCATGGACTATGATCCACTCAATAACTATTGTAGTTTTTCCCCATTTGGTTAATTTTAATAATAGGTAATAACATGTGTCACAAGTCATATTAGATGACGTAAATTTCAGTATTTATGATCCAACGGATAAAAATTACACTAGAAATAACTAATTTGATCCATCCGAAGAGCCCACAATAACAAGAAGATTTGTCACCTTGATGTCATTTCCCAAAAAGCAATGATAGAAGATAGAACAAGAAAGTGGGTTGGAGGTGTGGGGACTTTTTGGATGAATAGAGGGTTCTTTTCTTTTCTTGTCTGGATTTGCACAAAATAACATGGGTTGGAGTAAAATAGCCACAAATGATATGACTTAGTGGATAGAATATGATTCTTATTAATACTTTTTAAGTCAAGTTCGTGATAAGGTCTTTTTAGTACAATTTACTTCTTATATGTGATTTATGGACTATTACATATAAATAATTACGATTTTTCCTCGTCAGTCAAAAAAAAAAAAAAAAAAGACAATAAAATAAAAGCTTGTGATTCGAAGTCTAGGTAATGATGGGCAGTCTGGGCAGTATTTGATCATGGCAAGTAGTAGTAGGTGCAACAAATTAAATGCCCAATGGTAAACTTAGTTTTATGAAAATTGAAAAATACTACATGGACTCCTACTTATTTTCAACTTTAATTTTCTCACAAATTATTGATGTACTTTTCTTGAAACTCATATGATGAAAATATCTTAAAAAATCATTTATTGTCACGTTATAGAGTAAAGTATGAGAGTAGAATTTGAAAGTACATGTAATAGAATTGGAGAAAATTGGTGGGTTTTTCAATTGTGAAGCAACTTAATTGGAGTAGTTCTAGACTTGTAGCTCTATAGACAAAAGGTTTCCCTACAGGCTTTTCCAGGACAAGCCTTCTAGTTGTCTAAGAGCATCCACAATAGAAGAGAAAGTGGAGTTATTTCAGAATTAATTCTTCCAAGGTGAAGAGCAAAGCTGATGTAGGAAGGAAAGAATTGAGTAAGAATTGGGCTGCAAATGTAAAAATAATGTCAAGAAAAAAAAAAAAAAAAAAAAAAAAGAGGTAAGGTTGTTCGTGTTTCGCGCACAGCTGGGCAAAACTGCACGTGCCCGGTGGCGTGTCAGGCGCGCATGACAGCATCATTTTTTTATTTTTATTTAAAAAAAAAAATTAGTTTTCTCTTTTTTTTTTTTTTTCTTTTTTTCTCTCATTTCCACATTCTCTTTCCTAATTACTCTTACATTTTTCCCACATTCTTCCCGAATGATGCGGATGCCCTAGATGAAATCATGCAGGCCCTACTTGACAGGCAGCATTAGCTGGAAAGAAAGAGATAATTGATTTATCATTTGTTTTGTGACTTTTGGAAATGACCATACCTCACACCTCATACCTCATTCATTAAATGCAGGCCTTTTCATACTAACATGGTGTGCTAATGGAACAACACTTACAATTATGAACATTTATACCAAGTTGGTTACACTATTTATGTTTCTCCAAATAACATTCTTCAACCCCACACCTAGGGGTGTTAATACTGACCTGCCCACTTCCACCGCGGGCTTTTTTGATGGGCCTTGTAGGTCAGCCCGGGGCCAAATTATAAAAATTTTATTAAAAATTTATTATAGTATTAATTAACTTAAATAATACGGAGTATTAAATTCTTCCATGTTTAGAAAGTAGTAAATTTTAATTTGTTAATGTTTTATATATATATATATATATATATATATATATATATATATATATATATATATAGAAGTTCGTAAGTTGGTTTGAGGATTGCGCAGCCCGCAAGGCTCGCATTTTTGCAGGCCAAAAATTTTAGGTCTTAACCCACTCTACTGTGGGCCGGTTTAGGGCTGGCCCAAGGGCTTCAGCCCACTTTGACACCCTACTCACACCACACAAAACCTAGAAAGGGAAACATTCATAACAAGAACGGCTATTGGTTTTCTTGGTTTGAGACCGGTCAGTTATGGACAACTTAGACTGATTTACTTTTTTTGTGGTCCTTTGTTGGCTAGTACACACCCTCAGTAATGGCTACAGGTTTCCCTCGTCACCCAAAAAACAGGAAAAAAAAAAAAAAAAAAAAAAAAAGAAAGGGAAACATCATGGAAGACATGATATGGTGTTATCTTCTTCATTTTGTTTAGTTAATCTTGTTTTGTTTCTGCATTGCTCCCAGTTCCCTCAAGAAAAGTGTGTTATTGATACATTGTTTGGGGTGCCTAGTTTCATCTTGTTGATGAATAACTATAACTGCAGGAACATCCATGTCTTGTCCCCATATAAGTGGGCTAGCAGCTCTGCTCAAAGCAGCTCACCCAGAATGGAGCCCAGGGGCAATCAAGTCTGCACTAATGACAACAGCATACACCCATGACAACACCAACTCCCCCATTCGGGACGCTGGAGGAGACGAACTTTCCAACCCGTGGGCTCACGGGTCGGGCCATGTCGACCCCCACAAGGCCCTCTCCCCGGGCCTGGTCTACGACATTGCCCCAACTGACTATACCATGTTCTTGTGCTCCCTAGACTATACTACTCAGCAAATCCAGGCCATTGTCAAGGCACCAAACATCACCTGTGCCAAGAAACTATCCAATCCCGCCCAGCTCAACTACCCGTCTTTCTCGGTCCTGTTTGGAAAATCAAGAATCGTACGCCAAACCAGGGAACTCACCAATGTGGGAGCCGCAGGAACCTTGTACGAGGTAGCCATCGAAGCGCCACCATCTGTAACGGTGACAGTTAAGCCGACAAAGCTCGTTTTCAAGAACGTAGGCGACAGGTTGAGGTACACTGTCACATTCGTGTCAAAGAAAGGCGTCGTTACGCCTAGCAATGCTGCATTTGGTTCCGTTTCTTGGAACAATGCCCAGAACCAAGTAAGAAGCCCGATCGCTTTCTCATGGACACAGCTGTTTTAACTTTGCTAGCTAGGGAGCTTTAACCTTGTAAGAATCAGTCTGTGCTAATGTAATTTTCGGGTGCGATGAAAATATATCTGAAAATCAAAACCTAAGGGAGGAAATGAACATGGAATAAAGATTATGATTGAATTCCATACCCTTTATCTCTTTCGTTCCCACGCACAACATAGATTCTAGTGACATTTCAAGACGCTTAAATTAAATTAAAGAAAGAATCTTTCATATGAATAATCAGCAGCACAAGTAGCATGGATTCCAGCATGTTTTTGTACAGTTGGAACAGTTTACCTTTGGACATCGAGGACAGCATCGACTAGTGCAGGAGCAGTTTAAACAGGAAGGGCATTTCGGGTTACAACAATTTGGACCGCAACAGTTGCACGAGCACGAGCACGAGGGCTTCTTAAAGCAGCCACGAGAATCCGGGCACGAGCTACAACTGCTGCTGTGACAGTTAGGTATTGAACAGCCGATGGTGCACGAGGAGGAGCAGCCGCAGCACAAATTGCAGTTACGACAGTTGAAACATCGTGACGTTTTGATTTTGGGACATCGATGACAGCAAATCCAGGAAATAATAATGTTGGAAGAGGGTGTTGCACTGCAGCTGAAAGAAAATTGTAAGATTTGGATAGGACAGGACTGTTATGTTCTAACAATTGAAGCATGTGGTCCGTCTCAACTAAAAGCCTAAGCTGGTAGTTGGATTGCAGATACCAAATTGAAGCATGTGCTCCATCTCAACTAAAAGCCTGGTAGTTGGATTGCACATTAATGGTTATATGCTCAACAAAAAAAAAAAAAAAAAAACACTAATTTGAGGAAAATGCTTTCCGATTACTCGACTGTTCTAAATGGAAGTAAAAACCTTATATAAAATTCAGCATATATACCAGAGCCATTTCCAGAAACGAGAGGATCTTGAAGCCTTCTTAGTGCTGATAGGTACAGAAAATAACAAAAAACATTATTAGGTCACAGTTAATCTTTGCAAATGCGCTGATATGATTGCTAAAGGCTTTCTTACATTGGAACGAGGGGGTCGGGTTTTGCCAACACAAAATTTGTAACCCTGCAAAATTCTCGAGTCAATTCAACTACACAACAGAGTGGAGGCATTGACACACACTATATCCATATAACGGGCACATGGATCCCTCTTTGAGACAGTTGAAACACAAACATCAAATGTGAAAGGATAAACACTACATACTCTTTGCACAATAGAGAAGCCGGTTGCAGGCCTTCATGAAATTTTAGCTCATCCTGCTTACAAAACAAATGATCAAAATTACATAAACTGTTGAGCATATAACCATTAATGTGCAATCCAACTATCAGCTTAGGCTTTTAGTTGAGATGGAGTACATGCTTCAATTTGGTATCACGAAGATTGAATCCAATCAATTACGCATGACCTTATAAACCCAATGTAATGTTCTTTCTTATAATTTCAATCACGATCTGTGATCTTTTTGCATGATAAAAGAAAGTGCAAGTCAAACCCGTGGAAGTTCATCAACCCTTTTATCTTTTAACGATTTCATTTGGTTTGAATAAGTAACGATTTCACATGACGAACACAGAAGTAAGCATATAACCCTCCTCTGCAACAGCAAATAAAGTTCAACGCCTTAGCTTATTAAATATTAAATCGATCTCAAACGGGCCATTGTTTCCTATAGGTTCATGGTTGAGCTTCCTCAGGACACAACAAATACTTTTCGTTTTTTACTAGGGGTTGTTGGTTTGAGCCCCCCTACCCCTGATCAGATAGATTTAACTAATGTATATATTCTCAAGAAATTAAAAAACCTGGATTCAAAAGTAGGAATCTCAGACAATTTCCAAATACCTAGGCAACACAGTTGTCCAGCAGCAGTTTGTCATTGGAATCTCTACTAGATTCAGCTTATAATACTCCAATTTGAGCACATGATTGCTTATATTTATTCTGGGCAACAGAATCCAAGAATCTGATGAAATAGAGCTTTTCTCATATTGCCACATAGCTTCAGCATTACAATTTCAATTTCACATCCCAATCCCTAAATCTCTTCATCATTCAACCACTATAATGTTTTCCAGTTACCATATATTTTAGCAGGAAAATAAGGCACTGAAAAAGATAGTGTAAGAATTGCTTCAGCTATAAGATGGATTTTTATTTTTTATTTTTATTTTTTAAAGCCTTGTGACCCGTCAAATAACCATAAAGAGGTAAACTGATTGGCTCAAACTAAGAAGGCTAGATCAGAAGTTGACCTGTAAGGCTGTAACTTTACGGTTATCAAACCAACTAGGCTGACTAATTAGCTCAAACCAAGAAGGTTAAACCAGAAGTTAACTGGTAACTTTACTGTTACTAGACCAACTATCTAATCAACTTGGTTGGCTGATAGGCTCAAACAAAGAAAGTAAAACAAGAAGTTGACCAGTAAGGCTGTAACTTTACGGTTATCAAACCAACTCGGCTGACTCTTAGCTCAAACCAAGAAGGTTAAACCAGAAGTTAACTGGTAACTTTACTGTTACTAGACCAACTGTCTAATCAACTTGGCTGGCTGATTGACTCAAACAAAAAAAGTTAAACAAGAAGTTGACCAGTAACTTTACAGTTACCAAACCAACTCGGTTGAGTTCGCTCTGTGCTATTTTTGTTCTTCTGCACATTTGAACAAGGAACTAGGGGATTACAGGCCACTGAAAAAGTGTGATTGGAAAAGATAACTTTAAGAGCCAATTTGCAAAACTTTAACATTCACTTTCCATTTATATATGTTTCTCAGGCAACTGTTTTCATACATCATTTTAGGTGGCAATATAACTGAAATTTAATTAAGGATTATATATGGAAGAATTGAAGCTGATGAACAACTAACTAACTTACTCACCTCAAGGAAGCCAACCTCTCTTTCCAGCACCTGAACCTTTGCCAGTTCGCGGCGGCACAGCGGCGGCGATCTGGGCTGCGGCGGCGGCAATGACGCCACTCCGCCACCTGGTTCCGAACCAGACATCTATCCCTTCAAGAATTCGACCACCTGGATGGCAGGACCCTTAGCTTGTGATGTACATAAATGGCTTCCTGCCCAAGATCAGACTGACACCTGGCAGTGCCCCTGAGTTGACACGTAAAACTCGTGGTTCAGTCAAAGTAAGTCGACGGATATGGAACGACAGACATAACCAATAAGGTCCAATGCATTATGCTATGCCAAAGGTGACTGATATACAGTCATTCAGAAGTGGGATAGAGTTCCACTATGGCACTATCCATACTCTTAAATTCTACTCCCCGAGTGGCAAATAATGATATGTTATTTTTATTATGTGAGTCTCAAGAAAAATGTCTACCATCAAGAATTGAAGAGTGGAGTAGAATTTAAGAGTAGAACTTGAAAGTTCACATAATAATTTTAAAGTTAACTGACTATTGATCAACTTGACAGTAGTAGAACTTGGGAGTCCACATAATAATTTCCAGAAATTATTGGTTACTCCGGCCAACTAACACAGTCAAGTTGGTCGGTAGTGACCAATTAACTTTATTGATTTGACACAGTCAACTATAGTAACATAAATGTAACCGGTTTACCTAGTCACTTAAAGTTAGTAGTCACTAAAATAATACAATTGAGAAAGTTTTTCCGAATAGCATCATTTAAATTTGACTAAATTACTAACTACTATGTAGTGTGATGGTACATTGTTACCATTTTAAATAAGTGGTCACATGATTGAACCTCGATGATGAGGATATTGATTCTTCTATCTGAGAAAAATATAAAACATATACTACCTTATAAAGAATCATGCGTATTTAAAAAAAAAAACTGACTAAATTAGTTGTCTTGTTATAGTTACAATATCATCACTTAAATTCTACTAAATTAGTTGTCTTCTTATAGTTACAAAACTTCATATTGCCATATGCGAGAATATTTTGAACTAGAATTCAAATATTCGTATAAATCAAGTCCTAGAACAACTTATAAACAATCGATAAATATAAATAATTTTATTATATACTATGTATGTCTAATAAGTTCGACCGAAAGAGATACAAATTAACATGTGACTATTAAATACAAAAATCATACTCTATTTACTTGGCCGGTCATCTTTTCAAATCCAAAAATAATTTTATTTTTAATAAGAAAGATGGAGGAGCAATTGTGACAGATGAGAGCACATAGTAGCTAGTACAACAAAATTAATGCATACATGTTTCATGACCCCATTCAACCAATTCAATGTGAAAGATTTCATTTGAAAAAAAGAAAATAAATTCATATCTGCATACATTAATATATAATTACATCTGAAAGCACAACATCAAGTCAAAATAAATGTTGAAAGCAGTGTTACAATAAAAAAGATTGTAACACCTAAGTTTCCATTTTTGTTCAATTGTAGCAATTAATATATGGAAGTGGCCATTTCATGAGAGTAACGTTACACTATTGATTCCAGCTAGCTAGCTGTGATGAAGCTTTGGCAGTTGGTGGAGAGAATTGAAATCATTTTAAAGTGAGGATGACAACTCATATATGACGGTACAAGCGTATCAATGACTTGAATTAATTGTGAATTGAGAATTATGTGAAGTGTTAGTTTTAAGATTATATATATATATATATATATATATATATATATATATATATATATATATATATATATATATATATATATATATATATATTACCTGCATTGATAAGTGACGATTATGCATATAAAATTTTAATGTTAATATTTATGTCAAAATCTTTAAGAAAAATGTAATATTGAGGTTAGAAAAATGTATCGAATTATAGATGTAATGAGTTTATAATATCACAAGTTAAATTAGTTAATTAATTTAATTCAATCTTTTTAGTATTAGCTTAAACCCTGCATATTGTAACCAAGTTTTAACTATAGAATAAATTTTCTCAACCCAATATTAAATCCCTATCATGGAGCTAGAGTTTTACAAGTCTTTTTTTGGGACCCTAGGGAAAAGAAATTATATATATATATATATATATATATATATATATATATATATATATATATATATATATATATATATATATATTGGTATTCGTGCGGTTGACATTTTTCGGTTTGATTGTGCGATTATTAAGGTGTATGGATTTTCTTCTTAAGGTGCGTTGTTTTCCTTCTTAAGGTACGTGATTTGTATGCTTAAGGTGCGTCAGTTATTGAAACTTAAGGTGCGCCATTTTAAAACCTTAGGTGTGTGGTTTGTGTTCTTAAGGTGCATGGTTTGTGTGCTTAAGGTGCGTGGTTGGTGTACTTAAGGTGTGTTGGACTAAAGCTCTAGGTGTGCGTGGTTTGTGTTCTTAATGTGCTTTGTTTGTGTGCTTAAGGTGCGTGGCTTGTGTACTTAAAGTGCGACATTTTAATACTTAAGGTGCGTCAACCGCACAATTGCACGGGAAGTCATCCCCGCACCTGAACCCTTCCCAATATATATATATATATATATATATATATATATATATATATATATATATATATATATATATATATATGCGGATTGTGTTCTCAGGTGCAGACGTGAGGTGAGATGAGAGTCATTGATCTTGTCAAGATCAACGTTTAAGATTAACAAGAATTTAAGAAAAACGTGGTGGCAATTTTGTCATTTTGCATCTATGTTAAATTTAAGGTGCGTGGTTTTCCTTCTTAAGGTGCATAGTTTTTGTTTTGTGTGCTTAAGGTGCATCAATTGTCGAAACTTAAGTGTGTTGGTCTAAAGCTTTAGGTATGTGGTTTTCCTTCTTAAGGTGCATGATTTTTCTTCTTAAGGTGCATGGTTTTCCTTCTATGGTGTGTGGTTTGTGTGCTCAAGGTGCATCAATTATTGAAATTTAAGGTGCGTCGGCCTAAAGCTTTAGGTGCGTGATTTTCCTTCTTAAGGTGCGTTGTTTTCCTTCTTAAGGTGCGTCAGTCTAAATTTTTAGGTGTATGGTTTTCCTTCTTAAGGTGGCGTTGTTTTCATTCTTAAGGTGCATTGTTTTCCTTCTTAAGCTGCGTTGTTTTCCTTCTTAAAGTGCGCCATTTTTTACAATTTGCTTCTTTAATTGAGGACCCACTTTTTTTTTTTTTTTTGACAGTCCCATTTATAAGATTTTCTATGCAAAATCCATATTCATGTTAATCCAGCTTAAAGTGCGTAGATTTGAAGCTTAAGGTGCGGGCATCAATTTAGAATATTTTTTAAAGAGATTGATCACCGCATTTTCGCATGGGAAGTTATCTCCGCACCTGAGCCCTCTCATATATATATATATATATATATATATATATATATATATATATATATATATATGTGTGTGTGTGTGTGTGTGTGTGTGTGTGTATACACTTCTGCTCAAATGCGGTCACGCCTTCCCGTGCGCGGTCGCTTGAAAAAGGCACCAATAGTGTTAGGAAAATGCACAACAATGAAATACACAAATACACAAAATACGCACAACACACCCAAAATAATTCACCATAACTCCCCACACCAAATTATGCATTTCCGAACATTGTGTGGTGCTTTTATACATACCTAATGATGCGTACCTAATTCAGCATTTTTTGTTGTACATTTCCTAACAATGTTGGTGCATATTTGAATAACTATTGGTGCGAGCGCACTAACCGCACGCGGCCACACCTGCACTATATATATATATATATATATATATATATATATATATATATATATATATATATATATATATATATATATATAGAGAGAGAGAGAGAGAGAGAGAGAGAGAGAGAGAGAGATAGTTAATTTCACTAGAGGTATCTTGTCTTTTGTGGCAATTTCAAATTTAGTCTCAGACTATAAATTTTGCCATTTAACATCCTAGACTATTATTTTTTAGAAACTTTTATTTATTTTCATGATTTTTCTTATTTTAGTAAGTGCATTTTTGTCTTTTCATATTTTTCTTTTGTTATTTTTTCGGTTTCAACCGATTTAATTAATTTAGAACTTTAGGTAACCTTTGATTTTTAGTAACTATATTTTCAACTGGTTTTTAGTAAAGTCTTAAACCAATTAAATCTGTTGAAAGTGAAAAAAAAAATATGAAGAGACAAAAATGTCCTTACTAAAAATAAAAATAGTCATGAAAAATACTAAAAGTGTCCAACAAATAAAAATCTGGAATGTTAAATGACAAAAACGATAATATGAAACTAGAATTGGAATTACAACAAAAAACAATTAAGGAACCTCTGGTGGAATTAACTCGCTATATATATTGAATTGAATGTTAATTTTATTTTTTGTCCTAGATTTAAAGGTGACAGTCCATTTTTATCAAAACATTTTTTTTGTCTTAGTATTATTGTGACATGACTAATTTTGGTCCTTGATTAAAAAAATCGTTGAAATTTTATTTTGATAAAAAAAAATAAAATAAAAATGAACTGTCACCTACAAATCTAGTACGGACTAAAAATGTAAGGGTGTTGCTATTTGCACCCGCCTTTGACTAAAATGGGGTATAAAGTACATTGAAAATCTAAAAAGGTGAAAAATTATAATAAATACATAGGTGGTGCAAATAGCCTAATGGGTGGTCAAAGTGCTATTTGCACCCCCTTATTCAAACCACATTTATTAGATTTAAATAATAATTAATTAATTCAAAATTTAATTCATTAAATAAAAAAAAAACAAAAAAAAAAAAAAAACTCCCCGGTCACCTTCTCCGGTGAGAAGGCAACTGGGCTGCCTTCTCCGGTGAGAAGGCAGCCCAGTGGGTCGCCTTCTCACCGGAGAAGGCGACCCAGGTAGAAACTACCTAGGTTGCCTTCTCACCGGAGAAGGCGACCCAGGTAAAAACTACCTGGGTTGCCTTTCTACCTGGGTTGCCTTCTCCTGTGAGAAGGCAACCCAGGTAATTTCTACCCTACTACCTGGGTCGCCTTCTCTGGTGAGAAGGCAGTTGTCTTCTCACCGGAGAAGGTGACGCTAAGTTTTATTATTATTATTATTATTATTATTAATTTAATTGTAAAAAAAATATAAAATAAATATTATTCTTTTGACCACATTAAATAATGTGGTGTAAATAGCATTTTGTAGTTAGCACCACCTATAAAGTAGTTTGACCTATTATGTAGGTGGTGCAAATAGTAAAAAGGGTGGTGTGAATAGAATTTCCCAAATGTAATT